ATCTTTTTTTTATTACAGTTCTATCCCTTATTAATAAAATTTTAGGACAATAATGCCATTATTTTTAGATTTATTTACCTGAATCTTGTTTTTACCATTTCACCCCAATTAATTAACCTTTTTGGACAAAATTACCCTTGAAATCAAAACAAAATTCAGCTTACCCAAGCCACCACCCCCACCCACCTACTGCTGCCTATCGCTTGCCGCTAGCCAAACCACCGCCGGTCGCCGCAGAAAGTCGTCGGAAGTCACTTGGAGTCGCTGTGAGCAACCCACCGTGACTGGGAGGCCCCAATATGGCCATTTCTAGCCATATTGATGGCCGAAAAGACCATATTAGGAGTAGATCTGACCATTTCCGGTCAGATTGATGGGTTTGGCCATTAACGGCTAGACCCTTGGCCTTTATCGACCAGATCTAGGCGAGATCTGGTCATTAACGGCCAGACCCTTGGCCTTTATCACCCAGATTTGGCCATTAACGGCCAGATCTATTCCGACCAGAATAGATTTGATCATTAACGACCAGATCCGTGGTAGTTAACGGCCAGATCTCGCCTAGATCTAGCCGATAAAGGCCAAGGGTTTGGCCGTTAACGACCAGATTTTCTCCCGATATGGCCTTTTCAGCCATCAATATGGCAAAAAACGGCCATATCAGGGCCTCCCGGTCACGGTGGGCTGCTCACGGCAACTTCCGACAGTGGTTTGCAGCGGTGGCAGGGTAGCGAGGGTGAGTTTGTTATAAATTAAAGTTTTATATAAGTGGGGGTGTTTTGGCTAAATTTGAAATATTGGGGGGTAACAAAATTATTTAAAAATTAATAATAAAATAATGTTATATTAATATTTTTAAAAAAGGGTAATTTAGTAATTTAAATAACATACCCACCAATTTATTCCTTGTAACCAAACATATTAATATAACATACTTACCAATTTATTCCAACTAACCAAACACATTTTCTTAAAGATTCACAGTAATCTTCAAAGTAATATAAGATTCTAGTAATCCAACATTCCTTGAACTAAACGCACCCTTAGGGCATTTTGATCCAATAATTATTAGTTGATACAGTGTAATGCAATTATTTTATATTACTTTCTAACACATGTTATGTTAATTCTATTTAAAAACAATAATTTGTTAACCATTATGACCTTAAACTTTTTTCCAGGGGCTTTTTAGACATTTCATTTGTCAAATTCGGTCCACCGTTAAATCTAACAAAAAATACTAACGACAAGGGTGGTTTATTGGATAATACACATAACACAGGGATCAACTGTCAATTTCAGAAACCACAGGGGTATTGGATGGTATTAATCCTAATTTTAAAATCAGTTTTATTTTTAAGAGATGATATATTAACAATGTAAAAAGACTAAAATGGGTATAATTTGAATTTTTTTTTTTTTTTTTTTTACTATTATTAAAATTAAGTTCTTAAATAAATAAAAAATGACAACTAGCCGGTGATGGCTGACTACTGCTACCAGTGGATAGTGAGTGAACATTGCTAGCACCATTGAGATCGATGATCGACGACCTACACAATGGTGTCGGTGTTTTGTCAAAATCAGAGGGCTTTAAACGGTAGAAAGTCAAAAAAGTTTGGCTAAAACTTGACTGGATTTTTGCAGCTTAACGCTTCCATATTTCAACAAACGTCCAGCACCATTGCATAAATCACCAATCGGAGATCCCAATGGTGCCAGTGGTGTAAACTCACTTGTTGGAAAATAAAAAAAATTCCGACGATAGTGGCCGGCCAATTTATGTATTTATGTTTTTAATATATTTTTTTATTATTTTTTAATCTAATTTGAAAATTTATTCATACAAAATTAGAATTTATGTTTAACAAAATTAGAATTTAGGTTTAATCTTAGGGCATTTTGTTAACTGGCTTTCTTAAAAGTTGATTTTGAATTCCACAAGCTAGAAATTCCTGCTTTTACAATCAGTCAATAAAATAGATTATGGAAGAAATAGGCTATTCCATAATCACTTTATCATTGCTTAAGAAATACCACCCCCGCACCCCCAAAAAAAAAAATCACTTTAAGAAACGGAGAGATTGTCTTCAACATTTTTGGCTTGAATGAAACATTAGAAGGCTTAAACTATATGCAATAGTTAATAAGAAATCTTTTAGTCATTTTTAAAGGTTATTTTGTAAGTGATTTTTCAGTTTGGTTGAACCTATTTTTCAAACACATGTTTCTTATTATTGCGCGATTATATTTTTGTCTAGATAAGACTGTTTTGAATTTTGAATTTTATTTTTTAACAATAATGAACTATTTTAAAGTAGGAACAAGATTCATTTAATGCAATAATTAAATGAATTATTGCATTATAAATATACAAAATCAGGAAACTAATTTTATAATTATAGTATTATATTGAAATTAACAATAAGCGTTGCATGCATTCATAGAGGACAGGTTGTAATTACTTAAACGTTAAGACGTAGTTAGTAGTTGTTGAAGAGTTGGTTAACTCACTTTGGTGTTAAGATACACATTTTTAAGTGCAACGGAATAAATTTACCAAGTTGATTAAGAGATTTCAAATTAAACCACATCAACATTCAAAAGCGATAAATAAAGAACACAACCATATATATGGTTTGGCTAAAATCTATTTTAGCCTACATCCATAGGACCTTGTCCAGATCGAAGCTAATCCACTAAGTCAATAAACATTACAAGATATCACTTAGAGTTGACTAAAGTTATAGCAAAAAGAACTCACTGTTTTAGTTACACTTAGCACGACCCTCTGAATCCCTAATGTGTTGCTGCTCCAAGGATCTTCTTCACACCAGGAACACACCCAAACACAGCTTGAGAACCACCCAAGCTTCAATCACTGAAGTCATGCTCCAGCATCAACAATGGAACCAAGTTCCAACAGCCATTCGATCAAGTATATGAGATATGGTGAAGGTTTAGCATATAAACGATGTTGAAACATAGAGGAAAAACTCCCTGAAAATTTTAGAGCACAAGTAAAATAAAATATCAAAGGTTAGTTCACAAATGAGCAAAAATGAAGATGATATAGACCAATTTCGTGCTCCCCAATTCTTGCCAAGGCAGCAAACAAGGGCTGACATATGTTGGTCAAAAAATGGAAAAGATTCCATCTATCTTTTGGGACTACAACCAAAAAAGCGAAAAATCTTATTTCCCTAGACCACAAAAGGATGTTAGGACACCTGTAGGTGGTCCTCATGACATCACAACAAATGGACAAAAAATACCTTAGCTGATAAAGATAAAAAAGTAACTTGTACAAAGTGAGTCAGACATGCAATGTTAACACAACAGAAAAATGTGCGCACACACGATGTAAAATGCGAAAAAAAATGCATCATGCATATGTCTGACATAAGTGTGCAAGCACACACACATCCACTATGAACACACATGAAATGAAAATGCAAAAGGCATAAGCTTGATATAGCTAAACACATGGAAGATAAAAAAAATTCCAACTTTTTGTTGGACCACAAACATATATTTTTCTCTTTCTTGCGAGACCACAGACAAAGCCTTACAACCTTTTAGGATTATATAACGAAATTGTGACACCTGTAAAGTTAACTCTCATAAGAATATCATGAATCAAATAAACTTGATGGTCAAGACAATCAAAGAGAAAAATGTCACTTCGCAAAATGTGTCAGACTGCATATGCTTGCACAGAAGAAGTGAAGAACGATGCGTACACATTTGTTCAACAATTCATTGTCCACTATAACATAAGTTTGACAAACATATTAACAGTACTCACTCATGTTGTCATTGTAAATTGTTTGCTAATAACCACCACTGGGTGGTTTGATGGTCAAAAAGTAAAGGAGGATATAAATTTACATAATCTCTCAATTTTAAGTCCCTGCAACTGTTAATAAGGGTGGTCACTAGGATTTGTACCCGATCAATAGTTTCAAAATCCTAAGAGATTAGTTGAGGTACGCATAAGTTAGCCTGAATACGCCTGTCATTAAAAATAAATAAAAATTGTTTGCTAATAATACATTAAAATTTAATTAGCAGATATTGCTTATAAATCAAGTGTCAACTATCTTGAACGTGGAGTAGTTTATTATAATATAACGAAACATGCATGTTACTCGAAGATGTAATTTACTTGGTGGACGAGACCACGACTAGGACTAAAATAAGTTTAACTCGACGCTTTGAAATTTCAATTTCATTCACACTATTGGAGTAATTTAAACGTAAAGGACTTTCAATCTCCACAATCAAAGTCTATTCTTTGTTATTTGGTTTTGGTCTACATGAAGTCCGATTGACCAATTAAATTAATGTAAAACACTCCCTAATTTACACAGTCCATGACGACTTCGCCACTTGTGCTGCCATTGAATTCATTGCATTTAAAAAGCTTGAATTCCGGTTGTTGGGTCATTAAAATATAAGGCCACCATCACTTTCTAATGTATTCTATTCTGTTCACAACCAACATGTGAAAAGGGACCAATTTGGTGGGATGGCTTTGTTACATTGAAATTATATTAACCTATTAAGTAATGCAATTTCCACGAGCTTTAACAGTAATTTCCACATGCAATAATATATTTTTAATAATTTATTCTGTAACTATCATAACGTCCATCCGCTTGTATTTGTAATTTTTGAACGGTCCTCGTACTTTACCCGGGTCAAAAAGTCAACCTAGAATCAAATATTTGTTTTTGCTCAATCAACGTATGTTATCTTGGGTGTTTGTGTCGTGGACATCGTGGATAACTCACAGAGTCACAGTTGTTAGAGCTACCATTGTATTGAGTACCATAACACAAGAGAGAGGTGGACTGACTGTCTTGGTGCCTTTTACTTTAACAGCATATTTGCATTAAAATAAATACTTGTCAAGTGATAACTCAATTGCGGTCAGCCTCACTATAAATCTATATAACTACTTGCTCATTGTTTTCTACATTCTCGTCTCAGCCTATTAAAAGGTGAATCCCGTTTTTCACGCTGGGAGTTTCACTCTCTCTCTCTCTCTCTTTTATTCTCGTTTTCTTTTAATTCTTCGTTTATCTTCTGGATTTGCTTGGTTGAATGGTGTTGGTGTTGATGGGATATTGATTAACATGTTGTAGGTTTTGAGAATGGAAAGTCCTGTGAAGAAAGTGTTGCTGACCTCTGATGGAGATGAGATTTCGCGAAACATTGCTTTTCATTTGGCCAAACGGGGATGCAGGTTCACTCTGATTCTATCTTCTTTCTTGTTTTCTGTTAATTTTTTGTTTTAAATTGTCTGGGTGATGAATCAAAGAAACTACATAGAACATCCCAAATTCCAATTTTCTTTCTGGGTTCTTTTCTTCTTTCAATTTCATTGAATTAATTACTTTTTGTGGATTATTTTTTTTTTTTTTTTTTTGTTTGTCAAGATTGGTTTTGATGGGGAACGAGAAGCGCCTTCAAAGTGTTGCGGAGAAGATAAAAAGTTTATTGAAGGTTGTTGAAGCAGTTGAAGTGGTTGGAGTAGATATGGAAGATGAGAGAGAAACAAGTTTTGATGAGGCAGTGAATAAGGCTTGTCGAATTTTGGGCAATTTCGATGCTTTTGTGCATTGCTATACGTATGAAGGTATGTTTATTGTGTGGTCTTGTGATTGATATCTATAACAGATTGATTTTTTACTACTAAAAATATTTACACTTTTTGGAACTACTTTCCCGTTTTGAGAACTTTAGTAGGCCATTTACAAAAAGTGGAAGATTTTTTTTTGTGAAACATGATGAGACTTTTGTGTCGAAAGTGAAAGTGAAGTTTGAGTTAGTGACGGTAGACAATTAATTTGGAAACTACAGGATTAAGCAGACACTGCTAATTGATTCACCAATAATTTATGTATAAATCTATGTATGTGGCTGGTTATAAAATGTTTGTTGTGTAACAAAAGATGATTATTATGGTGTTAAAAAATTAGATTGACCAAATACTGCCTTTCTGATATATTATTTGGGTTATGGTTTCATATCTGATGTAAAGATAGTGGATTCATCTTCTGAAATTTTTAGGGACTTTTTGTTTAGAACCAACTTGACATGCTAAAGTTCAAGGAAGCATATTTTGTCCGATTATGTGAAACAGGAAAATTTATCATATATGATTATGTGAAATAGGAAAGATGCAAGACCCACTACAATTAACTGAGGAGGAGTTCAGAAAATTAGTGAGAATCAATTTTGTGGCTTCATGGTTTCTTTTAAAGTCTGTTGGCAGAAGAATGCGAGACAACAATGCAGGAGGTTCCATTGTATTCTTGACCTCAATAATGGGGGCTGCGAGAGGGATTTATCCAGGAGCTGCGGCCTATGGTGCATGTTCGGCAGGTGTGCAGCAGTTAGCTAGGGTAGGTATCTTTGCAAGGATCTTGTTTTATTTCGGTGTTTTTTACTCTTGCCTACGCTTTGTTGTGCATCAAAGGTCATTATATTAAGGATAGCTACCATCTTGAACCTTGAAGTCTCAGGGTCCATGTGTTGCACTATTGCATTAGGAAACAGTGTGAATACTACATGTTTCTGATGTGTAGTGGTGTAACTTAGGGACATTCTGGTACCTTAGTGACCAGAATGCAACTAAGGCTGTGGTCTTAATTTTTGTATTTGATTATGCTTCATGTGTTTTAGGTGAAACATTTGATTCCGATTCTTTAACATGATCATATTTGTGTACTTTTATGGTATTAGATATTTCGTTGTTAACCATTTGAACTTATTTTTCTTGCATGCAAAATAGTCTTAAGAAGTGGTCCTAACTTAGAGTAGTTGAAGGGATAGGAGAATAAAAATTGATATAATACATGAAGTGAATGCATTTTGAGTAGCTTGAATTAGACAGGGCAAATCGAAGTCAATGAAGTGGTTTCTGATTTGCACATCTGCCTCTAAAACTGATAGTTGAAGTTCAAGGAATATTTATTGTTTAAATAGGACCATAGAGAGATTGGTCATGATTT